TATTTCTTACCATTTTTATATAATCAGCAAATTTTAATTCTGGTAACCAAAGTGCACATGTTAAATGACACCAAATTGTTCCACTTGGTGTACATTTCATTGGACCACCAAGTCTAATATTATCAAAAGCAAAAAAAAAAAAATAATTTTTTTTATTTGAAAAAAAATAATTTTTACTTTGGACAAAGTAGACAAGCAGGTCGTCTTAAAATTGAACATGATTTACAAAGCCATGTACCATTAGGTACAACAGTTATTCCATAACAATTTTGATGTACACAAGCATTACAACGTTCACAAAAAACCATTTCATTTCCATCATCAGCATCTGGTAATAAACATATATCACATACAATATCTTCATCTTCACATGATTTTTGTTTAAGATATGAACGAATTTTTTCAGCTGTATAATATTCTAAAATAATTATTGCATTTTCAAATTCTTCTTCAGTTATTATTCGTTCTTCTAGAAAAGAAAATAAGAAAAGAAAAAAATAAAGAAAAAAAAAAAAAAAAAAAAAAAAAAAAAAGTAACATACGATTAGTGTTTATATATTGATTTAATTCTTCGAGATATTGAAGATCATCATCATCCATATCATAATCAAGTTCATGCATTACTACTTTCATTATTAATGCAGTTGTATCACTAAAAATAAAAGTGTAAAAATAAAATTATTCAATTCTATACATTGATCATCAAAATTATGGCACCAAATGTAAATTAAATGTTTTGCTCTTACAGTAAATGTTATAAAGAATTTATATAGTACAAATTATTTCGAACAAAATTATGAAGAAATTAAATTTCTTAGTATATTCTCAAAAACCAGGATTTCTATAAAACCAAAAACTTTAGTTATCAATGTTTAGTGTCCAATGATAAAAGTTCGTTTGAACAATAGAGAATGATAGAGGAGAACACGCTCAGCAAAATTAAACACCTTCGATTTGAAGATGTTGAAGTTTTCAGATAATTTTTTTTTACTGTTGCCAAATTGTTAAGGCTGCAGCCAACTCTCTTTAATTATAGTACAGATATTAATGAATAATACAATAGTCTAGAACGATTTGTTTTTGAAATCTCAATATTTTATTGGATTGTCAAATAAAAATCTACGGTCTCTCCGATAGCTTGAAAAATCAACTTTCGAGTTTTGTCTTCAAAATTTGCGTGAACAAAGTTCTTAATAAAATTAGTTGATGGTGCAAACTTTAGCTTTTTTCATATTTTCTTTAGCTAAAAGAGATAGGTTTTTATACATCAGAGAATTTCGATTATTTAATATGTCAGAATAGAATATACTGAGTCGATTTTTTACGTAATTTGAGAAGAACCACAGCTTTTAGTTACAAAGATCTAGGGAAATTTGGATATCTCAAGAGCGAAGATTCAGAAAAACAAACTATTCTAGACTTTTCTATGGCTCACATTCAAATAAATACCGTCTCAGTGGAAAAGTGAATTGAGATCAAGATCGATTCTCTCATGAGTTGCACCAAACTCATGGAAAGCTTAACGAATTTTTTTCTTTTGTTACGACTTTTTGACTTTGCGTAAACTTGGTAAAACTTAGGAAACACGTGTTACACAGAGCTCAGAGATATCTCATTTTATTGGGAGTGCTCTGCTCTATAATTCTGCATTTTCAAAAAAACAATGCATTTCGAAAGCTGAAAACTTTAGGATTTTGATTTTCTATAAATCGAAGATTCTAGCAATATATCGTTCTCATAACTTTATTAGTAACAATTTTCTCTATTAAGATAGTCATTTAAATTCTTTACAGCATCTGCTACAAGAGGAGAAAATTGAATTTATACTTGGTTAGATAATTTTAACAACCGCTATATATATAAATATATAAGATTAGGTAAATATTGCAATTGTATGTCCCAGATTGAGTGAAGATAATTAATCGAATTTATTATATTATTGATAAGAGAAAAAAAAAAAACATCTCAAGAGTAATCAGCATATTTTTCCTAAGAAAATAAGAAAAATCCACAAGGAATCAAATTTATGTCATTTAATTTTTTCTTTCTTGAAACTATCATTTGTACTGCACTTTTTACGATCGTGCATAACACAGATAGAATACTTTTATAATATAACAATTAATATTTATTTTCATGTAAAAAATATGCTAATTCGTACAAAAGGAATTTGATTAATTATTTGAATTTAGATATATTGTTACTCGTAATTATCTAATTTGTATCATGGAAAATTCTTTTCATAAACTATTAATGATGATTAATATCGTTTCAATCAAGTTCTATTAAGTTATACTGAAGGACATCATATATTTTTAGAATAATGATAATCTGCATTAGTCATGTTATGATATTGTTTATTCTTAATGCTAAAATATAATATGCCATGATATTTTTGTAGAATATCTCAAAAATGAAAGTAGCTAGAAACCTGTGGTTTTTATTATTCGAAAGAAAAATGAAATTTTGCTAAATTAATTGGTTTATATATCGATTAAGCTAATGATTATTTACTTTAGATTTCGAAAATAAGCTTTCGGCAAACTTATCTCAACTACATGGAAGCCTTGAAATCGAATCACCTCTCACTTTAAACTCTATCGAGTTTGTTATATTCTTTTAGATTGAGTTCAATTGTGGTATTTGTTTTTAGTTTCAATATGATCGTAAATTATTAGATCATGATTTCTATTATAATGCAATGTATACAAAGCATTTAACATTAGATAGGATATTTTCATAATCTTGGTTTTTCAATGTCAGATTAAATTACTAAAACGAATTTGTTTTTACAATAGTCTTAGAAGGTTTTTAGTACAGCAAGGTGTTTTTTTTTTTTTTGTTTACAATATAGAAGAAAATAATTCTTCATTCTATGCAATATTTAAATCAATTATTTACTGAAACCAAGAATTTTATATGTCGTATTTATTCACTATTGTTTATAAAAATTAATTTCATCATTTACATACATTATTTCATCATTATGATCATTCATATTTAAATTTGATTTTTTTCGTTCTAATATATTTGATAATAATCGATAAGGTACTATTAATGATGATTCTTTTGTATTATTATTTGTTGATTGATTTACTGGTATTGTAAGTTTATACCATTCAGCTTGTCGATCAATTACTGTCCAATAAGATGATTTTGGATTTAATTTTGATGTTTTAAATACAAGTTTATCAAGATATAAAGGTGTAGAAGATTTTTCTTGTTGTTTATTATCATTTTCTTTTGTTGTTTCTAATGAACATTCATTTGTACAACCATTTTCTTTTAATATAGTTGTTGTTAATGAACTACTTCGCATTTGTGATTGAGCATTCTATTATAAAAAAAAAAAATATTCAACATTCTTTTTGTTTTTCTTTTATCTTACTATTCTTCGTCGTTGTGATCGACGATTAGAAAGTGTTGTCGATGGAATTTCTATATGATTATTCATATGATTGCTATTACTATCATTTGATGATAATGGTGAATCAATTTGTTGGTTACTTGTGTCTGTCATTGGTATTGATTTTCTTTTCTAAATATAAAAAAAAAATTTTATATAAATACAAAGAAGTAAAAATGAAAACCTTTGTTTCGATTGTAGGTTTCAATATATAGGCATCTAAAGACATCAGAAATAAGACTAATCAATTAATATTCATATACAGACACATGATTTAAATAGAAAAAGAAAATCTACAAAGAAAAAAAAAAGGATGTGGACGATTTGTATTCACATATATTGTAAGAGAAAAAAAAATAGTTTATATTCTGTAAGAGAAAATTACGTATTAGGTTAGAAATGATTGTCTTAGTGTACACAAGAAAGAAATTCATATGCATATATAATCATATAAGTTAGAGTTACATGCTCTTTTTATTCTTTCTTCTACCCTAAAAAGATCATACAAGTCAGTCATTGTGTACGGTAATTACTTTTTTAAAGAAAAATTTCATTGAATTTAGTGATAGATCAATGAATTTGATCGTAACAATGAAAACAAGATCATTATAGTCTTAAAAAAATCAGTTTATCATTGAGAAATGTTTTATTCCATATGCATTTAAATCTAAGGAAATTTTCACATGATCTCTCTCCAATTGTTGTGCAATTTATTATACTCATACAACATAGATAATATATTATTCATGTCAAAGAATTCTTCATTCCATTGATTTAGCTTCTGTATATATTTATTGAATATTACGGCATAGATCAATCAATACTCATTGATTTCTTTCTTTGAAAGAAGTTAAAATTTCTTAGTTCGTCAAACGATTGTATGCTAATTATAATATATCGATATTCAATTGACTTTCAGCATTTATCTTGTTTTCTGCGCACATAATATAATTTTTTATTTTATATTTGAGATCCATGAAATATTTTAGAAGGTTTTTCTCCAAAATTTTCTCTGTAGGAAAACAGAGTTAGGTACTTCAACCCAACTCATAAGATCCAATGAAAAGCCATAGTCTTCCCATGTTGCAGGTTAGTTGGCTCCACTAGTAATAGATTATCGACCAGAGAACAACTACTAGTATAGCAAATGTTAAACCGATAGTTTTTGTCGACTGTCAATCACATGGGTTCTTGTATGGAAATTCACGTTTCGTCTTTGAATTTAAACAGGTGTTTTTTAATACTTAGTGCCAGAGGCACACTTTTTTTATTAGAAACAATAGTCTTTTGTATTCAACAGCTGGACTATATGTGCTAAATCTGAAGAAATCCGTTGGATTTCAATAAAAAAAGCTTTTTTGGAAAATCCGTGATCTCCTATTGCACCTTGTGAATTATCTTCTATTCTGAAACGCGAGAAGTAAAAAGACTTTCGAAAACCTCAACTGATATTACTACTAAATTTTCTTCCTTGATTAAGTACAAAAAAAAAAGAGAAGTTCTTTAACAATAATCATGCATTGACTTTTTTTATTCAGTTTTTTTTGTGCTTATACTGTTTTATAACAATAACAAATAAACAAAACAACAACATTTAATAAACAACATCATAATCAAGATAATCATTATCAAAATAATCTATCCGTACAAGATCATCTTCATTTGCACTAGCATAACTAAAATTAAATATTAATACAAAAAATAAAATTGAAACATTTATAGATATATGTTTAATATACCTTTTTCCATCAAGATGTATATCAATGTTATTGATAGGTTCAAAGTAACCCTTTACTCGAGCAAATTTTTCTTCAAATGTTAAATAAAAAAAATCGAGCTTCGAATTTTTCTGTTTGAACTGCAGTTTGTGTGACCTAAATAATAATTCAAAATAATAAAGAATAAGCAATGTTTGAAATATTATCAAAAATAAATACTTTAATAGCTTCTTGACCACCACCAAGTAACACATGATCTTTAAGTGGTGAGATTTCCGCAGAATTAATCGGACGTTCAGTTTTATATGTTTTCAAATGTTTCAATATCTAACAACTAGAAACAAAAAAAACAATTTTTTTTTATGTGAAAATTGAGTGTAAGTTTTTCGATCATTTCTGCTTATAAAAAAGAAATATATGTAGACTTGTAGAGACAGATCTCCACTATTTAATAGTGTACGAATAGATATTCTTTGTGATCGAATTAATTTCTAGGAATTTGAAGCATGATTTTATGTTTTTTCTCATTATGTTGACGATTAACTGAAAGTCGAATGACATTAATGTTTTTGCACGGAACTTTTTACTAATTAAAGTTTGCATTGGTTGAGTTGAAATAACAAGATGATACTTAAAAAACTAAATTTTTAAGTATTATCTAATGATATAAACAAACCAATTTATGTTTTGACATTCAAAGACTCCAAATGTATGTAATTGTTTTACGTCGTATTAATATCTACTTTTTTGTTCGATGATAACGAGATTCTAATGTCTCCTAATTAAAAGGAAAGCATTTGATATATAAATAGACTATTCATTAGTGAAGTAATAAGTTTGATTGAATGTAATGCTCTTCGCCGAAAACAAGATCGTCGAAATTTGACATCGCCGACACAACGTGAAAACGCATCGTAAATTTCCACGTCGAGTTGACGATGTGAGTTTTCGACGAAGAGCATACTTACCTATATTTTTATTCCACACGTTCTTATTCAGTTATTCAGCATCAACACTAAAATAACAATTTGGACAATCGAAATAGAAAAGACGGTCACGTCTTAAAGATTCTAGTCAAAAATTAATCAAAGGTTAACATTTAAAAATATATTAACGAATGATAATGAATTGTAAAATAGTTTTGTATCTCAGTACTGCATAACTGTTTTATTATGTTTCAATCGAATTGAAGGAATCATAATGGTTTTGGTTCACTTCTCTAGACCTAGTAGAACCTAATAACACGTACATCATCAAATAGATGAAGTCTTTTTCAACAAGCCTAGATATATCCTGTTCTATAGTCAGAACTTTTAATTTTTCATAAAATGATTTTACTTTAGCTGTGCGATCTTTTGATGATGAAATTAGAAACGTCAAATCGTTATTTGTTTGTAAATCCATTATTTGTCCTTGATGTGATTTTTCTCTGCGTACATGATTTATAGCCTAAAACAATTGATTATTATCAAAAAAAACAATAGACAATAAATTACATTCTACTTTAATATCCTATTAAACAATTTCAACATTATCATGACCAGTTACAATAAATTCATCCAAGTATCCCATAAACTACTTATTACTTTTCGAAGTCCTTTTTTGTATTATATTTATACAAACTGATAAACTTTTATTGGCTATCAAAAAAAAAGCACACTTCAATCAATTATTTACTAAAACAAAAACAACATACCTCGCATTCTAATATCTATTAAATACATTTCACATAGTTTATCCATAAAATCATCATTGGTATATAAAATTATATTGCCATGATAACTAAATGCACAACAACGATATGGTATATTAAGTTGATAAAGATTTCGTTCGCATCCTGTTTGAATATCCTAAACACGAACAGTACTACCACCAGATACCTATACAAATGCTGTTGAATCCCAATTAACATCTATAGATCATACAGATGGAACTGTATCGTTACCAGCTGAAAATAAAAGATCACTTTCACGATTATAATAAACTTTAGTTAAGGAACGTTTATGTGCTTGAAGAAGCATTGGTTTCTAATAAAAATAACAATCATAAAATAAAGAAACATAAATATATATGTTTTCCTTTTTTAGCTTTACCATTTAAATTATTTGAGATTAAAAAAAAAAAAGGTTATTAATCTAAAGTATTATTATACAGGTTATGCCAATGAAAATTTTTATTATTGAAAGAGATGAATTTATTTATTGACTAGTCTTTATTTTCTAAATGTAGAACATAATAATATTAGAAATGGAAAGGAACAATAAGGATTGAAATACACTCTAGGGAAGTAATATTATAAAAACAAACATGACTATTGAACAAACTGATCAATTACAAGCCATATGTCATCATTACACAACTGTATATTGTATATATATATATCTATACTATATGAATTGCTTTGGAATTTACTCATGTTTTACGTTCTATTTTTTTTCTTTCTATTTCTAAAATAGAATAAAATAAGAAGAAATAAAATATAAATGGATCTACTACAGGATCATGTTAAGCTATCTAAACGCTGCAACGAATATTTGTCTATATTGTTTATTTTGCTGTTGGTGTCCATTTTCTATATTTATTAATAAAATTAATTAAACCATTTGTTGATGAATCATGAGCCGTAACAGGTTGAGTTGCATCTAATTCTGGTAAAATAACTTTGGCTAATTGTTTACCAAGTTCAACACCAAATTGATCATAAGAATTAATATTCCATATTTGTCCTTGAACAAATATTTTATGTTCATATGCAGCAGTTAACATACCCAATGTAAATGGTGTTAAACGTGGTAAAACAAATGAATTTGTTGGTCGATTTCCACGAAATGTTTTATGATAAATAAGAAGTTCATCACTATTATTCGAACTTTTTCGAACTTCTTCTTCAGTTAAACCACGCATTAATGCTTCAGTTTGAGCAAGAAAATTAGCCAATAATATTTTATGATGAAGACTGTCACGTATTGGATTATGAGTTTCAACTGGAGCAATAAAATCACAAGGTATTAATTTTGTACCTTGATGAATTAATTGATAAAATGCATGTTGACCATTGGTGCCAGGCTAAAAGAAGAAAAAACAAATCAATCTTTAGTATTTTATTAAACATAAATAGTATTATTGATAGATTCAACTTTTAGCGATCAAATTTGTTCATATAATAATAAAGAACACACGATGAAAAATTAGTGTAAACGAAAATGCTCGATAAGCTGTCTGAAATACATATGGAATTAAGTTATTCGATTTCGGTCGTAATTAGAGATGTGCCGGACCAGCTGTCGTCTCGGTTCTAGCCACTGAAGCAAAACTGATACCCGGACTAAGACCAGAGGCAACCGAGCTTACCGAGAGCTATATAGAGACTATGAGAAAACGATTGTTCTCCCGGAACTGAAGTTTATAGCTAAATATTCTATGATTTTAAGCAAATTATTGTATCAATTAGAACATGATTGAAGAGAGATGATCAAAAAAAAAGTGCTAGCCGTTCACTTAATAAATCAAAAGGCGAATGTTTTTTAATGTGATGCGAAGAAATTGTACAATAATTTTCTCTAGATCGGCACCCAAATAACTTTGGACCGACACACCTCCATTCATATTATATATCAGAGCTGCCAACAGGCTGCTTTCACCAATCTAGTCTACAGGATTAAATAGACCGATTGATGTGTTTGATTTTTCGAATATATTAAATTTTATCCGTTTGAATTAATTTATAATGTTGGTTTCAGTTGTTCATTTAATTTATTTCCATAAATGTAAGATAATAAAAAGCTCTTGGATGAAATAGCAAATAAAGTCCCTTCCACTCCCTTCACACAAAATCAATGCCCAAAAACCGTCTTTTATGATGGTGTTATAGGTCTAGTTCGGTAAATCGTTGTTTCTCACACTTTATCTTACCAAAACTCTTGAGATTTGAATCATTTAAGACCAAACTCGAATTCAAATACAAATTTAAAGGCTTTGAGTGTGTTGCATCCCGAATTTCTCATAATCGAAAAAGTGTAATCCTTATATCAAAAACAACTTATGATCAAACATTCAACGAAGAGATCACACTAGACAGTACCAATCTTTCCGATTTGAATGAAAAAAATAAAATGCTTTCCTTCTAATGATGATAATAATATCAATTTAATTAACTTACTTCACCCCAAATAATTGGACCAGTTGTATAATCAACTTGTTTTCCGTCTTTTGTACGATATTTTCCATTACTTTCCATATCACCTTGTTGAAAATAAGCAGAAAATCTATGCATATATTGATCATATGGTAAAATAGCATGAGTTTCAGCACCAAAAAAATTATTATACCATATACCAAGTACAGCCATCATAACAGGTAAATTTTTTTCTAATGGCATCTCTTGAAAATGTTTATCCATAGCATGTGCACCAGCTAATAATTGTTGAAAATTTTCAAAACCAATAGCACATACAATGGAAAGACCAATAGCTGACCATAGAGAATAACGACCACCAACCCAATCCCAAAATTCAAACATATTTTCTTTTGCAATACCAAATTCAGTTACTTTTTGTGTATTTGTTGATAAAGCAACAAAATGTTTTGCAACATGTTGTTGATCTTTAGCTTGATTAAGAAACCATTCTTTAGCTGATTCAGCATTTGTTATTGTTTCTTGTGTTGTAAATGTTTTTGATGCTATTATAAATAATGTTGTTTCTGGTGATAATTTTGATACAGTTTCACTTATATGTGTACCATCAATATTAGAAATAAAATGAACACGTGGACCAGTTTTTGCATATGGCTATAAAAAAAAAACGAAAACAAAGAAGATACTATAGGATTGACTAAGAAAAATATTTCTCTTTAGGAAGTGTTTTATGGTTAAAGAAATAATGGTTTAATATTAAATCTATTCTTAATGAAATGAAGATTATCGAATTACATATATGAGTCATTTCTGTCAGAACAGAATATACCTACGCTTCATTTGACTCTGGTTCTTTACAAGAGTTATTTTGCTGAACAAATTCTTTTAGTATAGATCTATGTAAAAATCTTGGCTATTTCAGCTAACTATTAACTAAACAGTAATTAACAAATATCTCTCTAGCTATAGAAGAAAAGATTTCGTAAAATTTATGATAGACTTTAGAGCACGAACAGTTTCTATGGCGAAATATTCAGCAAGATCCAACTTCAAAAGACACAATGTGTTTTCATTTCTCGAATGTACATATACCAAGAAAAATATTCGTTTTATGTTCTTAACTTACTTTCAATGCTTCAGTAACCATTAATGGACCAAGATCAGATCCACCAATACCAATATTAACAACATCTGTAATAGATTTTCCTGTATAACCTTTCCATTGTCCATTACGAATTGATTCAGAAAATGTTTTCATTTGTTCTAAAACTCGATGAACATCAGGTAAAACATTTTTTCCATCAACTAAAACTTGTTTTCCATCTTTAGGTGTACGTAATACTGTATGTAAAACAGCACGTTTTTCTGTAAAATTAATTATATCACCATTAAACATTTTTGTTCGTTGTTCTTCAATATTACATTCTCGACATAATGCAAATAATTCATGTAAAATATCATCATTAATTAAATTTTTTGAATAATCAAATAAAAATGGTCCATCCGATGTATTAATTTCTAATGTATAACGTTGAAAACGTTTTTCATCTTCAGAAAATAATTGTCGAAGATTAAGATTAATTCCAACAGTATCATAAAGTTTTTTTAAATTTTTCCATGCATTTGTTTGTACTAAACCTGACATTTTTTGTTTCTCTTCTTATTTATCTACAATAATCAGCAATCAATTTTTTGATAAGATTAATTAAATTTTCTTTTTTTTTTTTTTTTTCTTTTTAAACAATTCATATTTATTTTCAAATACAAACAAATGAGATTAATGGTCGAAAATATATCTGACCAAAAAGAAAAACGAAAAAAAAACACATTACAGAAAGAGACAGAGGGAAAGAAAGAATATAAAACAAAGATTTGTCCTTTTGTTTTTTTTTTTTTCGACTTATCTGACAAGACTTATTTTTGCGACTTTACATGCGGTTTCAATAAGGACATTTATTTTCTCACTATTATAGTTATGATCATATAAATTAAGTGTTGAATGTAACCAACGAGAATGTTCATCTGTAAGATGATTATCGGTTGATGTAAATATTGTATGTATCAGTGATAAAGTAAACTGAAATAATGATGATGATTGACTTTGTAAATGTGTAACAAGTTGTTTTGATGGTGGAATCCATTTAATACCTGTTGTTGTTGTTGTTGTTGTTGTATTAACATTATTACTTGCTTGAGAACAAGATGAACGGAGACGTTTTGCTATATGTGGTTGATCATTTTCATCAATTGAACGTTTATCACTTGTAGATGGTATTATTGAATTTGTGGAAGGAGTAGGTTCGGATGATGTCGAAGGCGGATGAACATTCTCTGTATTATCCATCGTTCCATTTAGGGTTGCTGATAATTGAACTGAAGGAAAAACAACATAAAAATCCCAAGTGAATAGTATACAGGCGACGATAGGAATGTAACGAGATCGATATTCAAGTGAGACTTTTGGGACCTGGTTGTCTCGGTCTCGGTCAGTCTCGTTCGAAGAACTGCAACAATAATAATTTTCACCGAGACCGATACCAAAGCTGAGATTAACCGAGAGGCTTGGTCTCAAGATATCGCTAGCCGAAGAATAGTAAAAATTTGAAGATAGGAATCCAATGTATGGATTTATCTGGAATCGAACAAAAGACGTCTCTTGACTAGAGATGAGCGGGATTATATTTTAGTCTTGGCCCTGCTGATTGGAACCATGGAAAAGGAAAGTTACCGAGATCTGGACTACGAGAAAACAGTTGTCAAAATCACAACGAAAGATTCTAGTGAAATATTGTATCCCAATGAATACATGAAAAAAAACGCAAAATGAACAATTACTAATTAATAATAGACAGATGTAGAATGAAGGTAGAACGTACATAAATGCACATAAGGAAAATTTTTTATGCATTGTATGATGAATGAAAGTAAGTTTTGATGTCATTATTAGGTTAATAACTATAAGTTACTCTGTTGAGGCTTTTTTTCTTCCTTCATATAACTTCAATAATCTACTGATGACTGAATGGAAATAAAAAAATAATTGATAGTGCATTATTTTGATTTTTAAATTTATTTAAAGACTTCTTAGCTGTTGAAGGATCTCTGAAATTTTTGAACATAAACAAAGAAAAAATGCTATCGATTTATTTCTTACGTCATATTTTTCAATATACCTACAAGAATATTCTTTATGTTGGTAATATTTCAATTCAATCATTCACGAATTTAACATTATCTTAAATGAAGTCTAATGAACGGACAATTAGAGATGAACAACCAACAGTTATTCGTCTTTTAATGTTTTATTAGAAGTTTACTAATATAAATATATGAAAGTATTGAAGAGAAGGTACTGTTCCATTTCAATCAATATTTTTTCGAATCGCAGTAGTGACTTCGATCGAAAAACTGAAGATTTGAAGTTTATATTCAATTAATTTGATAGAGCATCTTAAGATAAGAAAAAGCTTAAAAGGGTTGGATTGTATGACCTATCAGTAACTTTCGGGATTTTTCTATAACCTTCTTCTATACATATTTTATCATTAGAGAGGAGAAATCAGGCCAAGAACAAGCACCTAGATTAGAGTATGAGCAAGAATGACACTCAGAATAACGTACCAGTCTGTTAAAACTTATCATATACTATCAATAGATAAATCTAATAAATTCCAGAAAAATAAATCTTGGTGATTTCTTACACTCTTCGTTCTGATTTTCTCCGGAATACTTGACTCTCAATAAAGCAAACATAAATTTTCACTAGTAGGGGACATGAACGGGAACCATTTTAGGCTTTTTCTCATATTATATATCCACAGGTATGGATCAATGAAAATGGAACTGAACACGTTGGATATGAACTTTTTCTTAATATTGCATGCTTACAATCGGTAGTTTGTTGAACATGATTTTTCATTTTAAGAATTTGTGATAAATTTGCTGATGTGATTTGTTCTTTAAATTGACAAATAATAGTTAATAAATGATTAAGTTGATCAACAATTTCATCATTATTTGTTGTTGATTCATTTAATTCAGTTGATAAATGATTAAATGATTGAATTATTTTTTTTGAATTTTTTTTTGGTGTTAATTTAATTGTATTTTTCTTTTTATTATTATTATTATGGGTATTATTCATATGAAGTTTAATTTGTATATTTGCTTGTTGAAATGCTTGTTGACATTTATCTTCATATGTTTTATGTTCATCATTCTCATCATCATCACGTTTTTCATATATTATTTGTGACCATATTTGTTGAAAATAATATTTTATATTTTTAACTGTACAATTTAAACTTTTTAATACATGTGTACGTTGTTCATCTAATAATTTTTTTTTCCATAATTCACTCATTAAATTTGTTGAACGATTATTACGTACACGTCGTTCAAATAAATAACGAAATGGTAATGTACGTGTATATGGATAACCATATGGATAGATTTGATATTTTTCAAGTGATGTTAATACCATTGATGATAGAACAGGTAAACGTGAACAAAAAACTAGAACAATTGGTGAATGATCTAGACCAACAAAAACAAAAAAAAGAAATTACATTTATTTCATATCATGAATATTAGATTACATTATAGAATTTACTTTTTTCATTAAGATTATTTTCAATCCATGAAAGAAATATTTGTGGTGTTAAATGACCTAATTCATTAAATGAATCTTCTTCATTTATTAATGTATTATCACGAAGTGAAATCGGAAATATAAAATATGGTTCAATTGATTGACCAGTATTAGAAAATGCGTAGATAACAGTTACTTTTGGTGTTAAATTCATTGGACGTAATCCATTCCATTCGGGTAATTGAAGTACAGTTGATTTTTTAGTTAACGGAAATTCAAATGTATCAACTGTCCATAATTGAGTCTAGAAATAGATAGAAGAAATTTAATTCGTATAGATCTCAGGATTTTATATGTTCGATTTTCAGAATATATGATAGAGATCAAATCACATCGAATTCTTTCTTACAGTAGTTGCAAGAAGTCCTGCTACTTGGTAAAAAGTACATGAACTTCAATTATATTTTCTTGATATTTTGACTACAAATAGAGCTCAGTAAATCATAATCGCAAGCAGCAATCAAAGTTCAATTGACCTTATTGCAAAGGATTGAAAATCGAAATCCTAGTCTTTTTCTCTAGGGTTCAACCAAGACTTGTTTTACGATTGTCTACTATTTAAATGCGTTAAATTCCATTTTCTAGTTAACAAATATTGATTCGCATATCTACATTGTACCACAGATAAGGTACTCGAATAACCTGCAATCTTGAGCTACGAAGAAACCTTCGCTATCTGATGAGGGAATCTTTTCAATTGTCAAATCGCTTTCAAGTCGTGAGTACTTGCATAATCTAGATCCAAATGAGCTATGAATACCATGGAAAGAGTTCGTGCTGCTAGCTTATTGATGTCGAGATATTGCATTTACAAGGGTATTTTTATACAGAAAATCGTGGTTCCTCTCAGGAACATTAGAAAAACTGATTTTCGAATTTTGACTTGAAAATTTGCATAGAGGAAGGTCTCAATGAGAATCATTTATTGTGAAAGTTTTAGTTCTTTTGCTTGTTCCTATCTTAAGATACAGCTATGGTAAAAGCATGCTTGTACATCGCTCATACACACTGCCGAATTCCAATGTTATTATTTCAGACTAGGACCAATCAAAATGTCTGAAACTTCCACAATAAATGATTCTTATTGAGACCTTTCTCTGTGCAAAGTTTCAAGTTAAAATTCGAAACTCAGTTTTTCTAATGCTCCTGAGAAGGATCACAGTTTTCTGTTTAAAAATGCCGTGGAAATGCAATACCTCGACAGCAATAAGCTAGCAGAACGAACTCTTTTCAGGGTATTCATAGCTCATTAGGATCTAGATTATGAACACACTCCCGATTTGAAAGCGATTCGACAGTTGGAAAGGTTCCCGCGTGAGACGATCTCAGAATAGATCTGTTCTCTATCAATGGTTGCGCTTGTGAAATTTTCAAGGCAAATGATTAAAATTAGCCGAAGATATCGATCAATTTTCGACGATTCTCGTCAACTTTCATGTAGAAATTACTTCATAAATCAGTCATACTAAAACCATTTGACATAGAATTTCAATTGGTAATAGAAGCGACACTGAGCTATCGAATAAGGCATCTAACATTATGAGACTTATTTTTTACGTTGAAATATTTTTGTCTGAATGAAAACTTATATAATCACATTAATCTTACTTTTTCATTATTTAATTTATTATCAATAAGATATTGTTGAAAATCATTATGCCATTTATCATGATCAATAATAGATTCATTATCAAATTGAATATGATGAATATCTTCAAAAGCTCGCCAAAAACTACCTGGTGATTGTAAATCACAACTTCTTATTGAACCCATATGACCATTACCACACATATTCATTGAACGTTTACGTGTTATTATACCAGTTAATTGATATATTTCTCGTAAAAATAATTGTTTAGCACATGGCCAATAATATAATGAACGTAGATGACGTAACCAATCAATAGTTGATTGTGATTGCATAAATGTATTTAATTGTAAAAGACGTGAACCAGTCATTAACGATGAATTTGATTTATATGAAAGACAATATTTTAAATAATCTAATTTCATACCACCTAAAAATTTACTTGCACGTAATATTGATAATTGTCGTTGAATAACATATGATAAGATTTGTTCCGGAGTTGAATCACTTGGTGGATCAGTCATCATTGTTGATGAAGATAATTTTCCTTTACTACCTAAAAAAAAAACAATATATAAATAATTTATATCTTTCATAGAAATGTTTATTTTGAAACAAATTGCTGGATGACAAAGTTCTTAGGTTGTAAAAAATATGATTGATGATACATTCCGATAATAGTTTTCTTGAACTGAAATTATGGTCGACAACTTGAAATTTATCTTTTAAAAAATGAACTTAAGAAAATTCCGAAATACCATTCAATTTTTTATTATATATTAAAATCGATCTCATCGACGAAGGTTAAGATAGCTGAAATGAAGCTCTATATCAGTGATCTTGCTTTTTGGATATATTCGTATGGAGAGATACTGCAAGTATCGCCTCAGAATATCGACATTGTAACCTTGAGAGAAATGCATACTGATCTCAATATCAGTATTTTATACCTGTTCTCTTTTCATCAAAGAAACAGCTCAGTAGTCTGAAAAGAAAAGCTAGTCTTTATGTTTTATCAAACATTGTTGATAGAGTTTTGTAAAGTTTTTCTGTTCAATATAAGACATACTGTGATTATCAACATGCATGAATGAATATAATATTTCAACCGAAAAATACTAAAACATTTTCTTTGCTCCACGACAGATGATATATTGTACAGCTACAAATGAAAGCTAAACAAAACCAGATATTGAAAAATTGATGGGCATCAGGTGACAATGAAAGAGTCATTCGTCGTCTCAAGTATCATTGATTCTAATTCATGTTCCTCGATGACATATTACAATAGCTTCGACAAGAAGACAATAGAACACAATTGCTAAAAATAACCTAGTTTCGTTCTCAAACAGTAATAATACGATATTGCATTTCGTAGTGTACTAATTGAACTTCGTATTATCAGTTATTCTATCTCTTGTTTTTTAAGTAAATGTTATTTATACCTGTTTTAACGAGAGTTTTTTTCTTTTTCTTTTTCGGTAATGATGAACGTGGTATTGAACGTAATGATTGTAAATATAATTCATCATCATGTTTCCATAAGAAAGTTTGTTTAAAAATTTGACATATTTGTTCATTTTGTTTTAATGTTCGTAATGAATACCATATTGTATGAATAATTCGTTGTAAATCATATGCTGATTTTAAGTACATTTTATCTAAACGATTAACTTCTGCACATTGTTTATCAAATAATGAAAAAATTGGTGATAATATATGAATTAAATAATAATTTAAATCAATTGTTATTAATTCAATCTTCGATTTTTGACATAAATTTTCAAATTCAGGTGTTAATAAAGTTGTTCGCGGATCAAAAAGAATAGCACTAAAATAGAATAAAATTCAATGTAGATATTTTATAATCAAATAGATAAACTTTTCATATTTTCTTATGTTTAAAATATTCAATGAAAAATTTTGCAACATGAGTGCAATATATTATCTTGATAAATAGTTTGAGCGATGGTCTCGCCATTTTTTTCAGTCATTTCTGATTCGTGTAGGGGGTTTGACTAATCCGTGTAAAATTTTTACTACTTGCAATAGGTAAACTTAGCAGTTTTTTTTTGACCTTTTTATCCGGATTTATAGTCTTCAACGACCAAATGCTGGTTTGAAAAAAACAGCTTAAAATCAGATGAAGTATCTCCAAAAGACTATTCAACTTTTCCCTCGAACTCGTATCTTCTTCTTGTAGGTGTTCTATTAGTGGTAAAATTTTCGGTTTCATCGATTTTACCTTATTCGAGAAGAAAAAACGGCTAAAAACGACCTTGAGGTTTATACAAAAAAAACAAAAAATAATAAACCTGAAGCTATACAATGCATGATATTATTAAGAACGATGATTACTCATAGACATTACAAAATAAAGTGTAAAATAATAAACCCTTCAGCGAAAGATTTACCATTGCAGGTTTTAAACAAAATCTTAGAATAATAAATATTTTGCCTGAGGCTTTATTCCATTCATACACCCGCAAAATGTGTATTATTCTGTACCTATTTTTTAATAGTGCATTGCAATCAAAGGAAAAATGATGATTATATACAACGAAAAATACGGTTGAAATTCGTTGAGAAATACAACTGAAAGTTAAACTTTATGATAAGACGAGATACATCTAACAATTATTTACCAAGTTCAATCATGTTGAAACCTTATACAATTTTATATAGAAGGTATTCTTTCACATGCATAAATAGAAATCTCACCACTGCTAGATAGCCACTTCATCTGATAATTCGATACATAAACAAACGTAAAAAGAACCTAGCCGAATAGATTAATTAGTTTTATTACATGTTTTCGATATTATGAAATAAACTATAAACATAGAATAGAAAGATCGATGATTTATTATTCGAACATAAGTTTAACAATATTTACCTTTGACTTGTTCCATATGATGATGAAATAAAATCTTCCAACCATTGTTGTATATGTTCATGAGTTATATCACCTGTTGTTGTTTGTATAATACGTGTAAATGTTGATGAATTAAAATTCATTTTTAAACCTTTTCCTTGTTTACATATAATTAATTGATTAGAAAATTTTCCACTTGGTGTTAATGCAAATAAACAATGTATACGTGTTGATGCAGTTTTTTTTTGTTTAGATGATAAACGTGTTACACCATCATCAATAATAAGTGTATCAGCAATTAATGTACAATCAGCTATTGATAAACGTATTGATATTGAAAAAAAAAACCATATTTGTTTAAAATATTCATAAGGTTTTGAAATATTATTATTATTATTTATTTGAAGTGTTTTTATTAAACGTATTATTTCACCTATTGATTGAATATTCGGTGTAAACAGTGAATATTGTTTAAAATAATTTTTAAAATCATCATTATCTTTTTCATATAATATTAACCAACGTGTAAATGAACGTATTGATGAACAATTTGGATATAAATATTTAAATGATGTATATAAAATTGATAAAGGATCAATAAAACCTTTTTTACCAAGATTTAATGCAAATGAACGACATTGATTCCATAGTAATTCATCTATATCTAAACTAATTAATGGTGGTAGAATTGATTGATGAGTATATTTATCAAATAAATTTGAAGGTAATGGTTTAGGTAATTGAAACCAATCGATTCTATGCATTTGAAAATCAATAATTATTTATTAAAAAAATACAAAAACAAATAACAATCTTACTCGGATGTTTCTTTATTCATCGTTTGATTCTATATTGTCTTTGTTTGTTGGCAAGATTATATAAAAACTATACACCAATGATGATTCGATACGCATACAACAACTGAAACCATCACTCATAGATGTCGTTTGAAGTGGAAATAATTTAAACAACGACAAAAAATCTGAATGATGATATGCATATTCCATATGCTAATAAGAAGAAGAAATGACTCTAAAGTGTCGCTATATACAAATATTCAAATTAACTCGAAAAAATTTCAATTCTATGTGCTTAAAAAAAGAAACAATCAAATAGTCTTCAGTTTAAACAGCATTTTCTTATGTACTATGATCTAACAGTCGATGCCCATAGTAACAATATTGAATAAAATATCAAAATGTTGATGTTTTGAACAAGAATTGTATTAATGTAGTCCGTCGCATACGCATTGAACATCTTTACTAGATAATTTCGAATTTGTGACGCGATGATCCTAAGGTCTGAGAACGCCTAAAAACTGTTTCGGATTCGGATAAAAATCTTGACGTACGAAGATGATAAAATCGGTATCCGATCTGCAATCAAGGTTTTTGTTGGGATGAAATGTGCTCCGAGAATAAAAATGTTCAAGTTGAAGACTTCTTTATTTTTTTGTTTCACGATAATTGGAAGAGAGCAACCATGAGCCCATTGAGTATACAAGGCACTTGATAAAAACTTTTTTTTTGTGCATTCAATGTATCGATTTCTGTAATCGCCAAACCCAAAACTTTAGCGTTCAATAGCCTTTCTTTTCTCTAGTTAATCAATATCGTCTTTTTACTACTATCATATGGTTAGGAGGACAAAGCAGACAAACATACCCTGCAAAAATTGTGCTTGTTTTCATCTCAACCAATAATTTCAATTTTTTTAAAGTCAAAATAAAGGGTAGAGAATTAAAAACTGAACAAAATGAGCGATGTCAATATAATACAATATTGATCGACTCAAGTTTTATAAGAGTAACATGAATGAAAAATCACTCGTTCGATGACAATCTATCGCCTGGTAGGATTCAGAATCAAACAGCTGCAAGCTAAATGTTATATATATATCTTATACAAACTTTTGTTTCCTACAAAAGCATTAAAAAAATATAAAGAAATAGATGGTATTTTCCGAACGCAACGGAGATCACAGTTCTCTCCTCACTTGCCATGCCACATTGTAAAGCAAAATAAATACAACATGCTGAATCAGGATGAATAATTACATTGGATGAAATATATTTTAGAGAATGTTTTCAAATGAATAAATCATCTGTGGTCCACCATCACTATGTTTTATTAAAATTTTTCTGCATGATTCTTCAGTGGTCATTTTTTCACAGAAAAAGAATTTTGCTAAAAAGTGTTTCACTCAACTTGGTCTTTGATGTTAATTCCGAATACCGTATTTATTTTGCTTTGCAATTGCGATATGGTAATTTAGGAGAGAGCTGTCAACTGTATTGCATAACATATATAATATTCATCTTTCTCCTATCTGATTCTGAATTCTGTAGAGAATAGATTGTTACTAAATGGACGTTTCGGGTTCATCGAAAGAGTCATTTTTCACTCATGTAAGTCTTATAGAACGTTAATCAGACAACATCGTATCACATTGGAAAAGCTAATTTTGTTCCGTTTTTAATTCTCTATCTTTTTGTGTAATTTGTAAAAAGAATTTGAATGAGTTATTAAGACGAAAACAAGCACAACTTTTACACGGGATTTTTTGTTAGTATTATAAATGCTCTCTTACAATGAAAACAGCATAACAAGATGGTCATCACTTTCTGAAACAACTGGTGTTGTTCATTACACGATCTACTGTTCGTTGCTTAGAGTTTACTACTGTTTGAATATTTTGAAGAAAAGAAATAAACTAATGAATAGCAAGGATGAATTTCTTCCTGGTACTCGCACTTCATTTTTTCCTAGCGTACACTAATTCTCAGTACTGCTTTTTTTTTTCTTCGTTGAAATAATTAACCGAAATTAAATCGTCCAAAAAAGAAAACAATATTCGAATGTTATAGTATTTATTAAATTTTCGATTACTGATGGAGCATCAACAACATATGAGTACAGAGAAAACGTTGATCATCTAAGATGTAATGATGAATTCGTTTACAAATGGTTAAAATGATATAAAAATAGTCTTGATTATTCTACTTCATTCAGTATTGGTCTTAATCTAAGTCTTCAATTTAAGGATATAACTGCATCTCAACGTTTCAGTGAATCTAGCTCCATAGATTTGATCCAATATCTAGTTCGATTATACGTCTGTAAAAACTAATAGAAATTATCACATTATAATAAATGATCAATAATTATTTTCTAGAAGGCATCTTCTTTTCATGAGATAATTCTTAGAACACATCGATGCAGGTTAATTCGAAAGATCATAGCTGATTAATGCGTTACTTTATTGATGAATAACACATTGTTTAGATTTATATTTGAATATGAAATTTTATTTAGAAAATTGTAAATAGCATGGCACCAATTCTGTTTTTTGTTCTGTCTCATGGTCTATCCTATTCATCAAATGTTTTTCAAAAAAAAAATGAAATTTATTCATATATTTATCGATTTGATTAATTAAACAAAATATTATACCACTGAGAATAATTCAAAACTAGTCACAAAAGCACTTTATTTCTGTATAGAAATTCTAAGGAAACTTTTTCGTTATATATAATAATATTAAACACAATGCTTTATTTTTCTGTGATATTTTATCATATTTTATTATAACACAGTTTCGATAACAGCTGTTTGCTATGATATATGATGATAAAGTCAGATCATAGTGTCATCGATATATATTTCCCTTTGCCCTTCTCTTTGTGGGTGTTAGTATTCTCTTCTGTCATATCGACATTCCACACCCATTCTTAGCTAACCGACCTAGAATAGATAAAAACGCTGTCTATACGAAAAACATAGTTATATCTATGGTAATTTTTGATAGAAGAAATACTAGCGTCAATGAAATTGTGCTTGATTCACCTTCTTCACATCATCAATCACGTCATTTACATATAGAATACACGTTCATATAGGCAACCAGAGAGAAGAGAGAGATAACAGAAAGCAAAGGAATGATATTTATATTGGTGCTGCCATAATGTCTTTTCCTTATAGACTATGTTAATATCATTAGTTGTATGTTCTATCCAACGCAGAACTCTGGTATCGATATAACGAATGATGAAAGTATGAATAATTAGGTCATGTTGATTCATGATTTTTGCCTTCCCTTGGAAAGGGGAGATTCTCTTCTTCTATGTATCAACAAACATAAGTGGAAGAAACCCAAGTAATATCATTCGAACGATATATATACGTCATTGACTAAGAACAAACTGCAGTCGAATAAAATCATGTTACTTTGATAGTAAGTAGACTATCCTACTCGTTATGTTGTGATGCTATGAAAGAAAATATCCAAGAGTAACAAATATAATAATAGCTAGCATGAACATGTTACTAAAGCGAATATGTAAAGTCATGACTGATGAGTTAAACTAATGGATGGGTAAAGAATACTCATCTAAAAATGAAGAGAAATAAATTGAATTAAGGTTATACTTGTTTATCAATTTTAGTTAAAAGATTCCCAGAAAGAATTCTAGTTTTTCAAAAAATGAAATAAAACTTTTATCATAGATCAATACACGAAAATTGCATCGATCGGAATTGACAGCAGCATTTTATGTTTTCTAACTTTTACAAAACTTTTAGTACATGTCCGCTGCTAAGTGTTCATGTTTCTTCTGCACCGAAATGTATTCATTTCGGGTATTATATTCATATGACTGACTGCGTACCAACATTTTCAAGATCTTTTTTAGAACATTATTTGGGATGAGTTTTCTGGGCATAGCAGTAGATACCAGTGGTTCTACATTAGCGTCAACCAGTTTGAGTGAATGCTAGCATCCAGATGTACTTTTGTTTTTTTATTATGGATACTTGCAACTCGTTCTATATTACTGCACACAGTCACGAATATTCAGCCGATTCAGAATTGAGAGTTCAAAACTAACAAGTGGATAATATTAGAGCATCATATATGAGGTGTATTGATTCAATTGTTACTTGACTTAAGAAGAAACCTCTTTCAATAGTCCCTTCTGATTTTAACACTTTTTTTGTTAATAGTTACTATATAGTATTTTAGTAAAAACTCTAAAATAATTTGGTTTCCTACAAGTGCTTTCAAAAGTTATGCATTTTTTTTGTCAGTTTTTTAGCTTATTCTATTGACGCACCAAAAGATGGAAATAATCAAATTTCAACCCGTATTTTTGTACATAGATAGGGCTACTCGAAACTGTAATTCATTAAAATTGTCAGACGAAAAAACTATCTATTCTTATCGAGATATTGATTTTAAAGAAGTGTCAATTTTGCTCATGCTTCTAATAAAAATGGCATATTCATTCAGAATTCAGTATCTGCACAAGAATGCATTCATTTTTGTTTGAAAATTGTTGAAGTGCTCTAGTATAGGATCAATCTATTCATCGACAAAAATGCAAGTCGAAATTCGGTTACTTCATCTTGTTTGGAAAGCAAATAGGATAAGTTAAAAGTCCAGAACGATGGTCATAACTTTTGAAAAAAAATCCTAGAAATCCAAATAATTTTAGAATTTTTTACAATTGTATTAAATGGTATCTATAGGCAAAAAAATCATCGAAATCGTAGAAGAATATCTGATGAATCTTCCATGTTAGCGGGTTTTTAGTTAAAATTCTTTTACAATTGATAGGTTTGAATTTCAAGTGGCTTAAAACTCAACGAAAAAGTGATCAATTAGTTAATAGCATCGTATTTCTAGTCATCAAAATGAATATCTGGTTCATTATCTTTATATGTACTATTCCCACGATACTTTCAGCACGTATTTTTCGTATAAACAATCAATGCGATCAAAAATTATGGTTCGGTACACAAGGTAAACCTTTGATTTATTCTGGTGGATTCGAAGTCAATGCTCGTTCGACAAAAGATATTAGTGTACCGGACGGATGGGTAAGAGGATACACTTGATCATAGTTTACCGCTTTTGAGTAGATCTTATTTAACGAACCACTATTTTTCAGGTAAGCGGACGTATTTGGCCAAGAACGAATTGTCGATCTGTTAATGGCAAATTCACATGCAGTACAGGTTAGTTATTGAGGTAAAACTCGTGTTCGAAAACAAAAAATATTCATGTAGGAGACTGCGGTGCACCAACGAACGGATACGGTATGGCATGCAATGGAATAGGTGGTCAGCCACCAGCCACACTTGCTGAGTTTACTCTAAATGGATGGGGCGGTTCAGATTTCTATGATTTGTCGAATGTCGATGGTAATACAATAAGCATGACGATTCGACCTATCCCTGGTCAGTACACTCGTGTCAATAACCCATCTTTAGGAAAGTACAATTGTGGCACGGTAAGCTATTTGATGGATTCAACAACGAAAAAAACACTCTCTAGAATTTCGATATCTTAGAAGATTTGATCATAATAGTATTATTACAATCGATGAGCACATCACTTTTTTTTTATTCGATCATTGTTAATGACAGATAAGAGTTTCAGAAATGAGATTAGCGACTATTTTTTCTCAAAGATATAGCAAGAATGAATTTTAACATGATTAAGAAAAAGTACCTCAATCGATGAAAACTATGAGATTGAAAACATCACAGAATCGTAATTATACTTTAATCGGTACACACACTTTATTGTTAATTGTATTTTTTATATTTATTCATGGTCTCGTTTAGGCAACGTGTATATTTGATCCAAATCGATGTCCTCCAGAATTGCAAATGGACGATGGAACTGGACGTAAAATATGTGCCAGTATCTGTGCTGCTATTCACAATGCCCAACAACGAGCACGACATGTTCATCTTCAAAAGATTTACAATAATCCAGATACGCGTTCGTTGGTTTGTTGTTCGTGTGATGGGAACTATTGCGTATGTAAAACTCATAGTTCAACAATAAGTCTATATTGATCTCTTGAGTGTAGGTATCACCACATGATAAGGTAACACCAGGTCGTAAATGCTATGTGGAAAAGTGGCCACGTTCGACACAAAATACACGTTACGATGAAGTTTTTAAATCTCAATGTTCAGATGCCTATTCATGGCAATTCGATGATTTAGCTAGTAAGAATATGTGCATATGACTGGAATTCTATTCATATTGTATTATTTTTTCTATAGGTACATTTCAATGTTCAAAAGCAAATTATGAAATTATTCTCTGTCCTGACAGTAATCCAGTGAAATCAGGAGAACCTGGTTCGAACATTCAGTGGAACGGAAAAAACTGGGCGATGTCATGTGATTTTCGTGGAAACGATCTGACTAACGTTCAAATTTCATTACATCTTTGTAGTAGAAAATGTGCTGAAATTCAAGGATGCACTCACTTTACATGGACTCGATACAAAGGTGGTACTTGTTGGATGAAAACTGGTACTGTTTCCAAAAAGGATGCCTTGACAACCAATGATCAAACTATGATGTGTGGTGTAATGAATGAGGAGCAAGAAAAGAACAAAGGCTCAACCATCCAGTGGAACGGAAAGAACTGGGCCATGGCATGTGATTTCCATGGAAAAGATCTGTCTAAAGTCCAAACTACAGCTGAACTTTGTGGAAGCAAGTGTGTTGAAACTCAAGGATGTACTCACTTTACATGGGCTCGACATAACGGTGGTACTTGTTGGATGAAAACTGGTGCTGTTTGTCAAAAGGATGCCTTCGCAACCAATGATCCAACTATGGTATGTGGTATAAGGGATGATGGCCAAGAAAAGAACAGAAACTTAACTATTCAGTGGAATGGAAAGAATTGGGCTATGTCGTGTGATTTCCGTAGAAATGATCTCTCTTACGTCCAAACTTCAAGGGAATTTTGTGGTAAAAAATGCGCTGAAACTCCAGGATGTACTCACTTTACATGGACTCGATATAAAGGTGGTACTTGTTGGATGAAAACTGGTGCTGTTTCGAAGAATGATGCCTTTGCAACCAATGATCCAACTATGATGTGTGGTGTATTAACCCATGCGTAAAACGTCTTGGCACGAAACTTTTTCTAGTATTCTATTCTCTTACGTTGTCTCTTTTTAATCTTACATATTCAATATAAGTACTTAATCTCTCTGTTCGGTACAAAAGGCCACATTCTAACACAGAGTCTTGGGATATAGCCACTTTTGGAGGGCCTTGCTATTGAACACAAAACTTTTAAATTCATATAAAATTATAAACATCGTATTCGACAGGTTTGACAATATAATTTAATCCTCATCGTTGGCTATGCAATGAGACAGCTAATTATGCCTAAAATTTATATCCTTGAGAATGTCCTTTCAATCTATGTTTGTGCTTTCGATCTAACAGAAGGTTATTAAGAAACGACAAATAACTCAGCAAAAATTATGAAAAGATTTTTCATATATGTACATGCACTCTAATACCTGATTTCTATTTTAAGTTAATGCGACAACAGCTTCATTCGATGAGCCCGTTGCGATAGTTAACGTTAATTACAAAAACCATCAAAAGACTGGAAGGCTCGTTACTGTGCATATTTTCAACATGGAAAACAGAACGAAGGAAGACACATGGACAGATTTGAATGATGATTTTCTTCATTAACAACTTTGACGGCACTTATTAATCAATGTCACTTTAGGAGAAAGCTTCACAGAAATAAATATGAAAAAAATTCATCAAACTATTCATAAAAGAATATGAAGAAAACAAAATAGTATTGCAAGTTATCCAAAAATTTAATGAAATTTATTCGAGCAAACGAGCCGTATGATATTATGTATGTACTCGGTTTCGCTTTTCACCATTTTCTATTTCTATGAATTCTGTAGATATATAAGACATGCATTTCTATATATACTTCTCAATAAAGCCTTTCGAGTTCGAAATCTAGATCTTCTCATTGTTCTTCGCGTTTTTATTCGTGCTTTAAATGCACGAATTGTTGCTTTACGAAAGACAAAATCGTCAATAGTCAGGCGAATTTACGATGTTCAGTCGTTTGCTAGAAATGACATCGCGATGTCTGATACATCAGTTGGCAATTAGCTTTCAATATTCATTCAATGAATCCTGATAAGTAATGAGAAATATTCACCATTTGAAAATTGGAAATTCATAGAATTGAAGGAAATAAATTGGGATTCAGTATTTAGAACACCTACATGAGGATTTTATGTGTCAGTCTTAGTAACTTTTTCGGTGGGGTTGTGTATCCCAGTGTCTTGAACCATACACATTGTAGAATATCTTGAATTCTTCCGAATCCTGCCTTAATTATTGTTAAATTTCCAATTTTTGGATTGTCATTACTACTGTGGACGTCGGATTTTTTCAAGCTCCAAGATAATTAAAAAGAAATACAGAAACCGAACTTAGTTGTCACTCACTCAATTCTCTTACATGCAAGACGCCTCTATGAGAATAATTATCACTGTTTTTATGCGAGATATTGATATTTTTTGATAACTGCCATTCTCAGCTTCGCAATTCCCTTCACAATCGACTGGAACTCGACTGATATCTACTTTTCTTTTTCCATACAAAAATCGTTAATACTATCTATACATAATTATCGAATTTATTTTAAAACTAAAATTGATATCTATTTAACCGAGTTTTTATCATAAGAATTATGTAGACAATAAAGTACAGGTTTCAATCATTATAGAAATCAGTAACCATCTCAGATAAATTTTTTTCCGCGCATGCTCTTTGGAAAAAAGCACGTCTTAGAATAAAATTTGGTAAATGCATCGTACGTTGTGTAACATTGGGAATGTATGGGTTGAATTTAGTATTCATTGTGTTAGTCTGTTGTTTTCTGAAAGTGAATGATTACTATTGTTTCAGTTTAATTCAAATTGACAATAATTTTTCTTAAGGTTTGAGACAATAATATCTTAAGGTCAATCAATATTAAGCAAACTTTATTTCAATGAAAACGTATCAAGGCATTTCATCTTGTTATTATTAATCGAAGTTCTCAACGGGCTGTGGAACAATCATTAATCAAGAAATGATCTAGAAAAGAAATATACGTCTAAAAATATATCAGTTCAGTGCTTTCAATTAAGAGAGTTATATGTGGCGATACACGCAAAATAAAATGATAAATAAATTACTTTTGAGCCGAAATAATATGCATCACGTAAACTCTTATGAATGATGAATATTCTGACAAGAGTTCGTGCTGTTAATTGATTTCTATCAATCAACTTGAAATTTCGTACAGAGATGAATCTTAAATAGACTAATTTATAGTGTAAGTTTCAAATCTTTTCACCATTCCTATCTTAAGATGTACTTATGATAAAAGTGTGTCTTTTATATCACTCATATATACACCTAGATTCGATGTTCTAAAGTCAGAATAGAAACAAATTAAATTGCCTTAAATTTTCACTACAAATTATTCTATTAAAAGATTTACTCTATGCAAAATTTCAAATCGACACGCGCGACAATTAGTTTTCTCCAAAGATCATAGCTTTGATCGAAAAAACTCCTTTGAAAATGTAATATTTTGGTAGTAGTAAGTTAACAGCAAAAACTCTGGTTAGAATACTTATAATCCATCACAATCAACATTATATACTTTGTTTCGTTTCAAAAGTCATTAATCAGCTTGAAGACTTTTCTCGTGAGATACATCTATAATATCAAATATTTTGTTTTAATGTGCATTTTTCTTTGTAAGAACTCACGGCCTAAGGTCCAATATTAAATGAGTAAAAGTAAAAAAATCTACTGGTCAAAAGGATATTGAAGGCTCATTCATTTCTATATAAAATATTTTCATTAAATCAAAGATTAAGGCAACAACACAAGGTAATTCAAAATAATATCGAATTTAATATTTGTCATTATTTTCATTGAAACTCTACAATGTTCGATTTCAATTATTTCATTCATTTAGTTATTCAAACTCATGAAATCAAAAAATATGCATTGTGAATATATATTCTCTATATATGTTCATCATGAAATTTATAAGCTAAAAAATTTTTCCAAAAGTTTAAATATATTTCATTTTGTATAATCAAATTTGTATTTGGTAGATAAAGTACGCCATATATTCAATAGATTACATATACGAAAAAAATCGTACATAGATGTTTTTCTTTTTTTATCACTAAATAAAATTCGATATTTTATTTAATTATATTTTTATTACAGTAGAAAATATTAATAGAAATTTACTTTTTTTTGTTTTTTCTATCTATGAACTTTTAAAATCTTCTACATGAATTGAGATATATTATTTAAATTAGACTTTGCCATGTATATGGTATTCAAATAGAGGCAGGAAAAGGCGTTGTTTTTTTTTGTTTCTTGTTATTATTAACATATGCACTTCCCACCAGCGATATCTATATAAAATCTTGAAGCAATGAATAAATTAGGAATATTTTTACATGATATATTCAAAAACTGAAAAAGAAACATGATTATTATATGCTCATTAAAAACATCAATGAATTCTTATCATGCTATTAAGAATCTCTTCAGTGAATTATATAGAGCGCAATATAAGCAAAATATTTTCAAATGCAAATACATATTGATAGAAACATATCACTAAAAGAAAGTTTCTCATTCAATTATAAACTAAATTTAGAAGTTTGCGATAAACAAATTATTGCATAGCATTCATTGGTTTAAAATCATGAACCCAAGTGCATAACTAAAACAGAATTTGCAAACAAAATTTGACATATCTAAAATCTAATAACATATAAGACTTTGTTGTTTGATCTTTCCGTTTTGATATGGACCATGTTATATCGACGTATTTTCTTTGAATCTCTTATTTATTCTACAAAGTTCTATTGTAAATGATTATTGTTTCTTCGCACGCATAATTTACTGTTTCCATGTTATTTATTTATTAGACCTTTATATTTCTTTTCTTTAAATTTCCCAAAAGACAATAAGTCCTAGAATTTCTACTTTCTAACCAATTACAATCTGCTAATAGATTAGAAAAGAAGTATCCATAAAACCGTAGGTTCATTTGCGAGATTTTCATAATACGATAAATATATATTTTTTTTTCTTTTGACGTTTACATACACATACACAAATAGATACATGTTTCCAACAAAGAGAAGAAAAACGGGTTACATGACAAACGATATACAACAACCAATATGTAGTAATAGAACAATATAGAAAAGAAACCGGTCAATGACAAGAAATTTAGTTTTTCTTTTTTGTATTTTTTTTTTAAAGATTTTTCAAAAGACAGGGTATCACAGAGATATAGACAAAGGATTAAAACGTAAAACACACATATGACAATAACATATTTAAAAAAAAAAGAAAAGAAAAGAAAACGAAAAAGAAAACTCGCATGCAATTTTATTCTTTTTTTTTGCCAATTTTATTTAATCGTGAAATATCTTTCACAACTATTTATAAAATAAAATACTTTTCTTGAATTCTGTTTTTATTTTCTTTTTCTAATAATTAATGATTTCGAATCATACGTATAATTTCGGAATCAGCAGATTGAGCTGCACCGGAAAAAAATAAATTTTCAATACCTTTTATACACCAGCCTCGAATAGGTGGCATACGAAGAAGTAATTTAGCAAAACGAGCAACATCATCACTATGAAATTTTTTGCAATAAGTTGCTAATGACATACAAATTTTTTCGCGTAATTCAGATACACGTGTTGTATCGACAACATCTTTCGCATCTAAAAAAAAAGAGCAACAATAAAACTAGGTTGTTTTTCTAAGATTTTTATCTTCATACCAGGATCATAAAGAAAAATAGCCTTAAGACATGTTATTTCAACTCTGTCAACATTTAATTCACGTAATATTGTCACAACATCATGATATAGACGAGTAATAAAGAATTGAAGAGATTGATCAACAGCTGTATGTGGTCGAACATATGAGCCATCCTAAAGGAAAATAATTATATATTTTTTTTTAATGTTTAGTCTAAATAAAATTCGATGAAAATAAATAAGAGTGTTGCTCAAAATTTTTCTACAAT